AACTCCCCCCAGCCCTGGGACATGCGGCCAGCGCGCGCGCACACACACACACACACACACACACACACACACACACCATTCCTGACATGGAACTTCTAGATCGCCTGGCACGTGCCGGCTCTTGACTCAGAGGTACAGGACACAGCCCTCTAATCCTAGTCCTGCCCCTAGGACTTCCCACGAACCACAGGAACACGAGAAGTGAGAATGCTACTGCTTGAGACCATCAGCTTATTTCCCTCTGCTCCTGGCTAACCCCCTTTCATTAATTTATTCACCCCACATCTGCTGGACACCTACAGCATCGACAGCGATGAGGACACAGCAGTGACTGAGATGTCCCGCCCTTTCCCTCACAGATCTCACAGCGTAGGGGGGAAGACAGGCGGAACACCTTCAATGACCCAGCCATGGTCAGGGCTAAGACGGGGAAGGCCAGAGGGTGGCGGCAGCCCAGCCAGGGCACCTGACCCAGCCTAGAAAGGTCAGGGAGGGCTTCCTGGAGGAGGGGCCCAGGACAATAAGTAAGAGTGAGCTAGATAAAAGCAGGGAAGAGCACTCCAGGAAGATGAACTGGCATGTTCAAAGACCGGAGGGGTAGTTGGTTCATTGTGACTGAAGCATCCAGAACAGATGACAAATGACAATGGTAACATCCAAAGGGCCCTCTAGGCCTTATGGGTTCACATACGATCACACAGACAGATGGACACACACACACACACACACACACACACACACACACAGACTGCACTTGTGTTTACTACGTGAAACAAAAACCCACCTGACCTTTAACCCCAGGGGAGGGGCAGAACACAAAGGGTGTCCCCTCCTTGGTACAGGAAAGTCCAAGCCCCAGACTCCATCCTTCAGATCATATGTGGAGAAACTGAGACCCAGAAAGCAGGTGCCCGCCCAAAGCCACACAGACTTCTGTACATCCACTCAGACACCCTAGAGTGATTCTAAACTCCTTCTGATTTTGAGCATTTGCCCAAAACTCTGTCCCCAGAAAAAAAAGCACAGACACACACACTTTAAAAAAAAATTATTGATTTATAAAATAGTTGCCTTAAAGTGCAAAATCTTAAGTGCTTAGTAAATCCATACACATTCTTTTTTACTATGAAAAATACAAAAGCAAAAATGTAACCATTTTATGCCTTTCCCCCAACACACACACACACACACACACACACACACACACAAACACACACACACTCCACACACTCCATATTTAGCACAGGGTGTCTCAGTGGTTAAAAGCCCAGGCTCTGAAGCCAGACGCCTGCATTCAAGACCCTGAACTTCCACTACTGGCTGAGTGAACTTGGACAAATCCCAAACCTTCTCTGTGCCTCAGTGTCCTTAGCAGTAAATCAAGAATCATCGTGCTGCCTACCTCATCCTTTAACATATACCGAATATATACCGAGTGCTCAGATCGGTGCCTAATACTTGGTATTTTGTAAGCACCAGCTGTCATTACTGGACGCTCTTTCAGGGGTTAACCGAACCCCTTCCCCCACAAAGCCCTTGCGGACCCCAGTTAAGAACGACAAAGAGCGGGAAGTCACAGACTCCTGAGCTGGAAGGGAGCCACGCAGAAATGGAGAGAGGAGCCACGTTAGCCAGGCTGTCCCTAGGGCCACCCCGCCCCCCTCCCCCCAGTTCCCACCCTGACCCACACCCTTTCCTATTTATACCCAGACGGAGGCAGCCTGCACGCTGACTCACCCTTGGCTCAGACCAATCCATTGTTCTGGGGTTGGGGGGAATAAGAGTGAGTAACGGCGGCCCAAAGGATATGGGGGATGTCAAGTACACAAGTGACCCAAGACAGTGATACCCAGATGCATGGAGAGACTGCCAGATGCCAGGCTGAGACATGGCAAGGGAGGGGTCAGAGTGGAGACACCATCGTGCTGCACTAGAACGCCCACAGGACGCCAGACACTCACCCCCCGATGTCCCAGACGCCCGGGCACACGAAGCCCGGCACACACTCAAGACCTACAAACCCAGCGAGCTAATGGTCCTGCCGGCAGAGTCCCACCCCGGAAGAGACAGATACCGGTTCCACACACGAAACATGCCTGGCTCCCCCGGGCACTCCTACAATTGTCACACGGACCAGTCATTGTAGAGTCACCTTTGCCCAGTTGTAATGTCTACACCAAAACACATACTCAGACAGATCAGTCCTCTCCAGTCTCACATACTGACACTTGAGTCTGCCTGGCACTCTCCCTCTTTCTCGCTCTCGTATACACATTCACGTACACACCAGTCATAGTCCCGTCTGTCTGTCTCCCGTACGAAAGCTCATGCACACACACACACACCACACACAAGTCATACAAATAGCCTTTTTAAAAAAATGTTTTATTTATTTTTGAAAGAGAGAGAGAAAGACAGCACAAGTGGGGAGGGGCAGAGAGAGAGGGAGACAGAATCCGAAGCAGGCTCCAGGCTCTGAGCTGTCAGCACAGAGCCCGGTGCGGGGCTCGAACCCACGGGCCTTGAGATCATGAGCTGTCCCTAGCCTTTGAACACCTAGAGGTTGTCTCTTTCTTGCCAACACTCCCACTGACATCCAGTCTCAAAGTGATACACACTCATCACACAGCCTCAATGCTGCTTCATGAGATTCTTTGTTTCTGTGTCTCAAACTCTCATGTTCTACCAGCCCGGTTCTCACCAATAGTATACATACCCTTGAACTTCACAGTGACATCCAAGTCTTTCCCCTGCATAACAGTGCACATATCTTTACTGGATTCACTATGTCACGCTGTCTCTCCCACTCTTTCTCTTACACACATACACAGATAAAGATAATTTAGCCAGTCCTGCCCAAGTATACACATGCATGTATGCGTGCGCGCACACACACACACACACACACACACACACACACACACCACTCACTCAAACAGCCTAACAGATATATTCACACTGGTTAGAGTATCACCCAGAGTCTCTGTCCCACACACATATATCCCAACACCACCCAGAGTTGGCTTCTCTTCTCCTAGCTGCCTCCCCACCTCTGATACACACACGCACACGCACACGCACACGCACACGCACACGCACACTCAATAAGCATGCCTAGATTAGAACCACAGCCAATATCTAGGCGATCTCCAGCAAAGGCATCCACCCCATCCTCCTTTCTCCATCCCTGAGTTCCTGCCCTTCCACAAGTTGCCTCCTCTCTCCCCTGTCCACACCCTTGCCCTCCCCCACCCTTCAGCCCTCCATCTGGTGGGTCCAAGCAGGCACTCAGGCCTCTCTTCTGCCTCCCCCATCCCCCAGCCCTTCCCCATCCTCTCCAAAAGCCCAGAGGCCTTCGCTGCAGGCTTTCAGGGGTTGCCACGGCAACGGGGCTTCGTCCCTCGTCCCCCTGGGGGTGGGCTGAGGACCCGGCCAGCCAGACCGATAAGGGGGTTCCAGTTACTGTGGCAACCGTTGCAGGCCTGAGCTCTCTCCGCTTCTGGGGGGGGGGGTGGTTGGAGGGAGGGAGTGAATGGTTGCCAGAGCAACCGGGAGCCGGCAAGGACTGGGAAGAGGCAGCTGAGCCCTGTCTCCCCTGCCCAGGGCTGCTGTGGGCATCGCAAAGCACTTAAGCATCATCCTTCCATCCCCCTGGGGTTGTTTTGGGGGAGGGACACGAAGTACAGATTACGAAACAGGCATTCCACTCACTTTTCCAGCTACCCATCATGGCCTGAGAACCCTGGATGCCAGCTTCCCCAGGCTTACTTGCCATGTGATCTGGGCCCAGTCAGGTTCACTTTCTGGACCTAGGTTTTCTCTTTCCATTAAGTGGGACCTGTCTCCCAGGAATTTTCCTATTCCTGTCTGATGAGTGTGCCCTCTCTCTCCCTTGCTCAACAGGAACCACAGAGCGAGTATGCCTGGTACAGGGCACAGCAGAGGCCTTGAATGCTGTGCACAGCTTTATTGCTGAGAAGGTCCGAGAAATCCCACAAGCAATGACCAAGCCTGAGGTGGTCAACATCCTTCAACCCCAAACCACGATGAACCCCGACAGAGCCAAGCAGGTCAGCAGGGGCAAAGGCTGGGTTTCTGTAAAACCGGTGAGGTTCGGAGAAGACACTTCTCCCATACCACTGGGTTACTGTGGAAGTTTAATGGGGTAACGCTGATAAGAGGTTTGTCAATCAAATGCATGGTAGTAGTTAGTTAGTCCTATTATTAGGGAATCAGCCTAGGGACTCCAAATCTCTTGGAGTGGGCTTGATTCAGAGAGAGAGTGAAAGTTTGGGAGAATTTGGCCCAGACAGCCCCCCCCCCAACTTATCCCTCCTTCCTGGGATTCTCTAGACCCTCTCTTTCCTTCCACCTCATCCCATTGTCTCCCAGAGCAACCTGCCTCCCACTTCCTGTTCGCACCGGAAGTGGCTTCAGTGACAGCCCATCCTCATCCAGAAGAGTTTAGAAATGACTTCATACTCCCTCTCTCCATGAATTCTTGTATGAGAGTAGCCACCATTTTGGAGAAATGGTATTTCGCTAGCGAGAGAGAAGGCACGTCCCTCTCCTACACAGCGCTCTCTAGGAGGGATGAAAGGAGGAGGGCCGTTCCTCTTGGTTGCCTCAGTTACTGGGAAGCGGTGGCGTAGGGGCGTGGCAGCGAGGGGACCAATCACTCTCCCAGCCCCAGCCTCTCTGGTTGCCATGACCACGGCGCTCACCGGGCAGGTGGGCTTGCGGCAGGGGCCCTGGAAGCGTGGCCCCGAATGGGTAGGAGGCGGAGGGGAAGGGAACTGCGCGCACTCCTGCTTTTCTCTCCCTTTCCCCGCTCCCATATACTTGCGCAGACGAGGCAAAGGGGAGAGAGTCCCTGGCAGGAAGACAGGCCACTTGTGAGGGTTCCTTAACGTCTGCCTAGAAGCAAAGACAAGAGACAGACCCTCGGTAAAGGAATCTGGAATTCTTGGGAATTCTTGTTGCCCTGAGATGGGAGAAACCACGGACCTGAGTTCCCCCAAGCTCCTGGGAAAACGGTGGGCGGAAAACCCTGGAAGAATGCTGCCTAGCGGATCGTTCCCAAAAAAGACTTCGGGCTTGGGGGTTTGGAGCGCGGCTGCTGTCCTTGGTGCTGAAGCGTCTCTGCCCGGTCTCTCCCGATTCCCTTCCCACGGGCAGGCCACAGTTTACACACAGTTTACAGGGTCGCAAGGATATTGCCTCTTCCCTCTGCCTTGGTGGCGGCCTCAAAGGGCTCCAAGTTCACGAAGAGTTTGCACATGTTGCAGAGAAATGGGGTCAGCACCATCTGCGCCTGATCCGTCCACCCCACCCCCTAATCCACAGGAATTCAGAGGTAGTGGAATCGAAAGGTTATAGAACCAGGATTTTTCCTCCCCTTACTTTTTACTGGGGGGCTTCAAAGAATGAAAGAGTTGAGACTGAAGGCTCAGGCTCTGGAGTCAGATGTTGAGTTGAATCTTACTCTGATAATGTACTTCTTACCTGTGCGACCTTGAACAAGTGACTTGATTTCTCCATGCCTCAAATTTTCTCATCTGCAAAATGAGATTCACTAGGGTACCTACTGAAGGGCAGTGATTAGTGTTCCCTGGTTTTTAAAAAAGCACATAGCATGTATGCCTAATACATAGAAAGTTCTCAAAAAATGTTAGCTGCTGTTATTATGGGATTTTTAGGTCGGGAGATGGGTCTACTCTCTTTCTACATTGGACTTGCTGTGTTACTCTGGGTCCCTTTCCCTTCTGTAAGCCTCAGTTTCCTTTCTTTACAGTGTGGAAGCTGGGCCAAATCAGGGATTATAAATTGAAATGCCTCCAAGATTCAGCAAGGGAACATAAAGAATTGAGGACTCTGGCCTCATCAGAGAGATATAATGCCCTAAACGGGGCAGCTGCTACTCAGCTCCACTTAATTCTTGCCTTTTGGGAATGTAGACAAAGTGTGGCCACATCTTCCACATTTTTCAAAAGAAGCCAGAAATATTTGAAATCGACTGATTTTTAAAGGTTGGCTCAGTCTTAAAAACACAATGTATGGGGCACCTGGGTGGCTCAGTCGGTTAAGCATCTTGACTCTTGATCTCAGCTCAATTCTCGATCTCAGGGTTGTTGAGTTCAAGCCCCACACTGGGCTCCACACTGGGCATGGAGCCTACTTAAAAACAAAACAAAACAACTATGTGGCTGTGGGCTGCCTATGGCCCGAGGACCATCAGTTTGCCACCTCTGGACTACACCAGTGGTTCTTAGCCCTGGCTGATATCTTATCCTCTAGGTAGCATAGAATGCAGATTCCTGGGTCCCAGCCCAGAGCCACTGAATCAGAATTTCTGGGGTGAAGACTTGGGACGCTGAACACAGATTCTGGACTGGGATCAGATCCTGGCTCTATTACTTACTATCTGTGTGACCTTGAGCAAGTTATTTAACCTCTCTTGCCTCTGTTTTCCAATCCATAAAATGTGATAATAGTACCTAACCTATTCTTGTAGGATGGTTATAGAAATTAAGTAAATTACTATACAGAAGTGTTTACAGAAGTGTCTGGCCTATGGAAGCACTGTTAGCTTCTGCTATTATTATCATCATCATCATCATCATCATCATCATCATCAGTATTATTATCATTATTACTATTTGAAAATTTCCACAGACTTGCAAATCATGGAGACAGATGGTCTCTCAGGTCTTTCTGGCCCTAAAACTCCTACAGTTCTATGGCTCTGTGATTTCAAGATTCTAGGCATACATTATTCTAAAACTCTACTGTTCTAACATCCTGGCACTCCAGGAGTCTATGAAACTGCACCTTGCGATCTCTCTAAGATGCTATGGTTCTACCACCTGACCCTATCATGAAGACAGCTACCATTTTCTGAGGGCTTCCCATGTGGCAGGCATTCCCATCACTGAATATTGCCAATAGTCATACGGAGTAGCTGTGGTTGTGTCGGTGCTGGAGATAAGGAAACTGAGGCACAGAGAGGTGAAGGCATTTGCTCTTGCCATGTTTTGGTGAACAATTACATCATCCTTTTGCCCTCTGAAGTGCTGTATCATACTAAATACCTCTTTACTCTTAGGTCTGGTTTTGTGCATTCTGTTCTATCTGCTTGACTTGTCTGACATTTTTCTGATGATATATATTTTTTTAATAACGGCTGTGTTGAGATATAATTCGCATGCTGTAAAGTTCACCATCTTAACGTATACAATTTATTGGTTGTTCAGTATACTCACAAAGCTGTGCGTCGATCACCTAATGTAATTCCAAAACGTCTTCACCACTCCAAAAAGAAGACTCATACCCCTTGGCAGTCACAGCCATTCCCTAGCCCCACTCCCTGTCCCTTCCAACCACTAACCTACTTTTGGTGTCTATGGATTTGCCTATTCTGGATGTTTTATATAAATTGAATGATATAATATGTGGCCTTTGGTGTCTGGCTTCTTTCCCGTAGCCTCATGTTTTCAAGATTAATCTGTATTGTAGGGGCACCTGGGTGGCTCAGTTGGTTAAGCGTCCGACTTCAGCTCAGGTCATGATCTCACGGTCTGTGAGTTCGAGCCCCGTGTGGGGCTCTGTGCTGACAGCTCGGAGCCTGGAGCCTGCTTCCGATTCTGTGTCTCCCTCTCTCTCTGACCCTCCCCTGTTCATGCTCTGTCTCTCTCTGTCTCAAAAATAAATAAATATTTTTTAAAAATTAAAAAAAAGATTAATCCGTATTGTAACATAGACCAAAACTTTCCTGTTTTTTATGGCCAAATAATACTTCACTCGATGGAGAGACCACATTTTGTTTGTCTATCAGTTGATAGTCCTTTGGGTTGTTTCTACTTTTCAGCTATCATGAATAATGCTGCTAGGAACATCTGTGGGCATAGTTTTCCGTTCTTTGGGGTATATACATATGAATGGAATTGGGTCAGATGATATGTTTAACTTTTTGAAGAACTGTTAGACCATTTTTAAAGTGACTGTACCACAGATGTGAGATGTAAATCCAGGTCTGCCTATGGGGGTAACAACCATTTCCTGAGTAGCTACTATGAGCACATATTAACTGGATGCTTCACATGGCACCTAACTTAGCACATACAGGTGCTCAGAAAATGCTGCTGGTTTGAAGAAACGGATGATGATATGCCCATAAGAGCCAAGCAGAAACATAACTAAGGGGCAGTAGTTCCTTACTCAAGCTCATCATCCCATGAGTGATCTCAGGCCTCACAAAAATTCTGTGGAGGAGGAATGAATAGCCCCATTTTACAGACGAGAAAACGGAGTCTCAAAGAGGGTGTGTCCCTTGCCCAGCATTAGTGGTAGAGCCAGGATTTTGAACCCGAGATCACCAATATATAAAAACTGGGGTGCTTCCCATTCTACAAATCAGAATTTCCAATTAATCTAGAAAACTCATATCAGGCTGAGTTTTCTCCCTCCCTGCCTACACACACACACACACACACACCACCACCACCACCACCACCACCACCAGGTGAGATACACCTGGCCTCCTCCATCCAGTTCCATTCCTGCTTGGTCCTGTGGACACATTATTGTTCCTTCTTCCATCCATCCATCCATCCATCCACACACTTTTTGCTGTATGCGTACCAGGCATTCCCCGAGGCCCCAAGAACCCAGTAGTCAACAATCCAGACAAAAATCTCTACCCTTGTGGATCTTACATTCTTTCTTGGGGGCACCAAAAACCAGAAAATGAATAAAATAAGCAGAGAGTGAAAAGTGCTATGAAGAAAAATAAAGCAGAAAAGAGGAGGAAAGAGCACTGGGGCATTTTTTTCTCCTTTTTATTTTGAAAATGTTTCAAAGTAACACAGTGAACTCTCTACACACTGCACTTACATTCACCAATTGTTAACATCTGCTTTACCTCTTCACACACACACACACACACACACACACACTGGTTGGTTTTATTTGTGTGTTTGTTGGGTTGCTTCTTTATTTTTGCTGATCCACTTGAGAATAAGTATAAACCTCATGACACCCCTACATTCTTCAGCATGCGTCTCCCAAGACTAAGGGAGTGTCCTATATTGTTATGTTACTATTATCACACCTACCAAAGCTAACACCAATTCCATACTTTAAGTTAATAAAAAGTTCATATTCACATTGTCCCCAAATATCTTTTATATCTATAAAGTATTTTTCTTAAAAAGCAATTTTTTTAAGGTTTGTTTTTGAAAGAGAGAGAGAGAGAGAGAGCGCGCCAGCAGGGGAGGGGCAGAGAGAGGGAGACACAGAATCCGAAGCAGGCTCCAGGCTCTGAGCTGTCAGCCCAGGGCCCGATGCGGAGCTCGAACCCATGAATCGAGAGATCATGACCTGAGCTGAAGTTGGACGCTTAACTGACTGAGCCACCCAGGCACCCCTATAAAGTATTTTTCTATCCAAGAATATTCATGCATTGCATTGGGTTGTTATGCCTCATTACTCTCTTTTAATCTAGAATAGCCTAATATATATTAGACTATATATTTTAGTCTATATATTATAGACTATATACTTATAAATATAGTCTAATATATATAAGACTATATATTTATATATCACATAGTATATATAAATATATACTATATATAAATATATGCTATATATTTATATATAAATATATATATAGTGTGTATATATATACTATATACACTATAGTATGTAATATATATATATATAAAGATTTTTTAAAGTAATCTCCACACCCAATGAGCGGCTCAAAATTGCAACCCTGAGATCAAGACTCACTGTCTACAGACTGAGTCAGCCAGACACCTCATCTACTATGTATTTTGAAGGTAGAGGCAACAGGATTGCTGATTGGGTGTTGAGTGGGAGAGAAAGAGAAGACTCCTAAGTCTTGAACCTGAGAAGTGAAAGAGTGCAATTTCCACATACTGACATGAGGAAGACCATGGTAGAAACACATTTGAGAAGATGAAGAGTTTCACTTCGGACTTCTAAGTCTGAGGTGTCCATTCTACATGATACTAGCGATGTGAGGTTAGCAGTTGGATACAAGTCTGGAGGTGTTTGTATGGGGACATAAAATAAGCAAAATAAACAAGCCTTGATAATTGGGGTGGTAAGGTCCCTCTAAAGAGGTGCATTTGTGCAAAAACCTGAATGATGAGAGAGGTGAGTCTTCTTTTCTGGGAAGGAACATCCTAAGTAAGGGAACAGCAGGTGCAAAGGCCCTGAGTCTGGACCAAGCTTGCAAGTTGGAGGAACAGCAGGGAGTCTAGTAGCCTGCGCAGGGGTCAGCAAGAGGGAGCGAGGGAAGAGTTGAAGTCAGATCCCACAGAGCAGAGCAAGGAGAGCAGTGGTTCTCAGTTTTGTCAAAGCCCACGCCCTCTTTCTCCTGCAAATATTTTTCCCACCCCACTTAACTCTGAAATTACATACACACACATACACACACTCATTGCGGCACATGAGAAAATGCATATAATGTCGATATATTACATATCTGAATCGGTAATATTTTTAACAGTTGTATTGAGATATTCATTCGCATCTGTACAATTCACCCATGTAGAGTGCGCAGTTCGAAGTTTTTAGTGTATGCAGAATTGTGCATCCGTGCCCACAATCAATTCTAGAACATTTCATTTCCTCAAAAAGAAATCTTGATCCCCTTAGCTATCACTCCTCAATCCCCACAGCTCAGCAGCACCACCACCCCCACTCCAGGCCTAAGCCACCACTAATCTACTTTCTGTCTCTATAGATTTCCCTGCTCTGAACATCCATATAAATGGAATCATACAATATGTGGTCTTTTGTGTCTGGCTTCGTTTCACACAGCGTGTTTTCTAGGTTCATCCATGTTGTAGCCTGGATCAGTACTTGGTCCATTTAAGTTGATTGCCAAAGAATATTCCATTGTACGGATGTACGTTTTCTTTATCCCATAAGACTTTTTTACATAAGAAATGAAAGGAAGGCGATTTGTTATAAAATGAGATGGATTTTAACATGTAAATGTTCAGCCAGGACCCCAGTAGAAGTAATGAAATAGTCACCTGCCCACACCTCACACAGCCTGAGCAAAAGAGACAGTGACAAACACAGGGATCCAGGGTGTAGCATTGGAGACGTAAATAATATATGTGGCGTTACTACTGTTGTCATGTTTTATTTTTAAATGACGAATGACTCTTGGTGAAATTCAAAACAAAACAAGGTACGATCTTCCCTTCATTTACTGATTGGTTGCATTACTGGAAATTTCAGTAGATCTTAAAACCATCGGGGGGAAACAAAATTAGGTACTTACATGGATCATGGGGCTCAGGTTTGGGCTCTGAGATTTATAAACAGACTTTTTACCGAGATGAATGTCCAGGGAGGCATTTGATATCCATATAGGGGTCACCTGGGTGGCTCAGTCAAGTAAGCATCTGACTTCGGCTTAGGTCATGATCTCACAGTTTGTGAGTTTGGGCCCCGCATCCGGCTCTGTGCTGATGGCTCAGAGCCTGGAGCCTGCTTCGGATTCTCTGTCCCGGTCTCTCTGTGCCCCTTCCCTCCTCATGCTCTGTCTCTCTCTCTCTCACACACAAAAATAAATAAACATTTAAAAAAATTGTAATAAAAATAAAAGCCACGGGGACCTGGACGGTTCATCCTTGTGAAGAACTGACTCTCACATTCTGGGGTGCAAATACCCAAGGCCCTGCCCACTGAATGTCTGTATCTGCTTCCAGTCACCATGACAACCAAAACCGCTCCCACAAATGTCCCAAACACCCCCCAGGGGCTGGCTCAGGGGCAGAGAGGAGACACAGGGGTGACAGCGTCAGGGGGTGGAACCCACAGGTCTGACAGGACACGGGGAAGACTGAGAAAGAGGAATTTAGGTGTGGAAATGCTCTCGGATATGTGAAAGGAGAATTTGGGCATTGAAATCTCTCCGCTGGAATTCAGACTGATCGGATTTGCAGCGGCAAAGGACCGGCTGCTCTGCACCCCAGTAGGGGACCACTGTTATTTAAGCGATCGATTTTCTCCCTGCCTTCGCCGGTGTAAGGTCTTGTTATCTTCATTCTACACCTAGGACAACGGTATTAGACTGCTAGGGCTGCCCTGACAAAGCGCCACCGGGTGGCTTAAGCAACAGAAGAAATTCATTCGCTCCCAGTTCCTGAGACTGGAAGTCTGCGATCTGGGGCAGTGTTGGTTTCTTCGGAGGCTTCTCTCCTTGGCCTGCCGGCGGTCGTCCTCTCTCTGTGTGTTCTCGTGCAGTCTTCCCTCTGTGCTGTGCGTGCCTGTGTCCTAATCCCCTCTTCTTCTAAGGACACCAGTCCTATTGAATCAGGACCCACCCCGGTAGCCTCACTTAACCTTAGTTGCTTCCTGAAAGACTCTGTCTCCAGGGGCACCTGGGTGGCTCAGTAGGTTGAGGTCGGAATTCGGCTCAGGTCATGATCTCACAGTTTGTGAGTTCCAGCCTTGCGTCAGGGCTGTGTGCTGACGGCTCAGAGCCTTGAACCTGCTTCAGATTCTGTGTCTCCTTCTCTCTCTAACCCCACCCCCACCCCGCTCTCTCTCTCAAAAATAAACATTAAAAAAAATCAAAAATAAAAGACCCTCTCTCCAAATACAGCCCTATTCCGAGGCACTGGGGATCATGTGAATGGTGGGGACAACAATTTGGCTGATAACAAAAAGAGGTTAAGGGAAGCGACCTTGACATAGGGCAGGAAACACCATGGAGCAGGAATCCGTGAGTCTGGATTTCAGCTCCTTTGCTATCTGGGTTACCTTGGGGCAAGTCCCTTGGTCTCTTAGGCCTCAAGTGGCTCATCTGTAAAATGAGATTTAATGAGTCCTTTTCTGGGGCTGGGAGTCAGAGTGTTCAATGAGCTAGAAGGCTAGGGCACCAATGCGAGTGGGGAACAGCGTCCTGGAGGGGGCCCACTGGATCAGCCATTAGGCCTTTAAGGTGCAGGATGGAAGAGAGGTCCCAGGGGCCCCAGAGGCATGGGACAGGGTGGCTGAGCGCCTACTGAGGGGACTTGGAGTATTGGCTCTTTTTATTTATTTATTTTTTTAACCAACCTAGATGGAAGCATTTCACTTTTTAACAACCCATAGGACCCTGGGGTGCATTTCAAGGGGCACACCGGGCCTGGTTTGGGGCACTTGAGAGCATGGGGGGAGAATGACTTAAGACGGCCAGCCCCAGACGGATTTTCCGTTCAGTCTCCACCCACCATCCTAAAGACCCTCCCTCTCCCTCCACACGCAGGCCAAGCTGATCGTCCCCAACAGCACCGCGGGCCTGATCATCGGCAAGGGGGGAGCGACAGTGAAAGCCGTGATGGAACAGTCGGGTGCCTGGGTGCAGCTGTCCCAGAAGCCAGAGGGCATCAACCTTCAGGAGCGCGTGGTGACAGTCAGCGGCGAACCGGAGCAGGTGCACAAGGCCGTGAGCGCCATCGTACAGAAGGTACAGGAAGACCCCCAGAGCAGCAGCTGCCTCAACATCAGCTACGCCAACGTGGCTGGCCCCGTGGCCAACTCCAACCCCACCGGCTCACCGTACGCCAGCCCCGCTGATGTGCTGCCCGCCGCCGCCGCCGCCTCGGCCGCCGCCGCCTCCGGCCTGCTGGGCCCCGCGGGGCTGGCGGGCGTGGGCGCCT